AGTTCATTTCTTGTTATATATCTAATTATCTTTATAAATAAATATATTAAATTATCAGCAATTTGGCTTTATCTAGAGAACCCTGTCTAACACAGGGGGAAGGAGGGAGAATGGAAGGAAGAAAAGAAAACTAAGGACCTTTCAGGAATATTACCAATTGGATAGCTGAAAGGGTTGTGATGCCACAGCTGTCCTCTGGGCAAATCCCTCTGGCACAAGGCTGGCTCTGGGGCCCTCAGCTACAGGGAAGGTCCAAAGATCAGGTTCTTGTAGGTGTCTGAAGGGGCATCTTCTGCATTGGGGTGTCAGAGATAAGTGCAAGGACAAATCACAGCCCCACTTGTGTCCAACTCTTGTCCCACTCTTCCCCAAAGCGCCCTCAAAACTGCAAACGCTACAGTTACATTGGAGCAAGGGACTTGACTAAAAGTCTCTGAAGCCTAATGACTTCACCTGTTTGTGTTGATGGGCGATGACTAACATGTATTTTTCTGTTGTTCCTTCCAGGGCTCTCCCGGTTTCAAAGGTAGCGGCGGACACTGGGGAGAGGTTGGAGACCCTGTAAGTTTGGGGGACCTGCACCCCTTGTTTATTGATTTTCTTTTTCATGAAAAAATGTTCTTTTTTGGGGGGGCTTTTCTTCGGGGGAAGGAGTTGCTTTTCTTTTCCTATCTGATTCATAGGCATTGGGAGGAGTAGGGAAGAGGCTTACACAAATGTTTCCTGGCTTGTTTTGCTCAAAGGCAGCGGGTAGACCACCCTCCTCTCCACCCCCAAGCAGTGCTCAGTGGGTAACCTGCTAGGCAGCATTCTTTAGACCTGAAGCCCAGTACTTAGTACCTGACTACAGACTGAGGCTGGCACATAAATTCCTCCATGGAACAGAAGGTGGGTCAAGCATCCCCCAAGGTATGGCTCCCTTGTAAAGGGCAAGCATCGCAATGTTTGGCCTTCACTTGGTTCATCCATTAAATTAGGTGAATGGATTTGAAGGAAATAAAACCATTTAGATGTCTCTGTTGGGGATGGACAAAGTCCAGGTGGGATCAAGCCTGAGACAGTATCCCCTCAGTATCAAGCCCAACTCCTCCTCTGGGACTGCCATCCTATTAGCCTCTGATCCAGTCTAGACGAGGAAACAGTGAATCATGGAGGTTGGTGTGGAAACAGAGATGAAATTCTGCGTTTCTGATTCCAGGCCCTGGGCTCTTCCCACCACTGTCATCTGCCTCCATTTACTCCAAGAGAAGGGGGACATAAAAGATCTGGAGAGCTTAGGAAGACGGAAAGACTTGTTTTTTTAGCCTGGGTTTGGGCCAAATACAAACACAATGGGCTGGAAGTGTGTGTGTGTGTGTGTGTGTGTGTGTGTGTGTGTGTGTGTGTGTTTGAGAGAGAGAGAGAGAAACTGTTTTGAGGAATTTGTTCATGAAACTGTGGAGGCTGGCAAATCCCAAATCCATAAGCCAGGCTGGAGGCTTCTCCTGACTCTCAGGGTTACAATGGCCAATGAACTCCAATCTGCAAGTCAGACAGCAAGCTGCTGGTTGACATAGCTGGGACTGGAGGTGAGAGGACAATGAGTGAAAAGTAAGCTGCAGAGGGGGTGA